TTATGCATCTAACGAAGGAATAAGAGAGAAGAGCAGAATGAAAACTTTGGTCATCAGAGAAGCAGGCATCCACAAAGCTGGAGATCTGGTGGGCAGGATCCATGGGAGCTGAGCATAAGGGAGAAAGGAGTTGGAGAGGAGGGTGTTTTCTCTTAAGAGGTGACATTTAGACTTGGCTTGCGATGAATTCTGCAATTACTTAAAACTTCACACTGATGATGACTGGAGACATCTTGTATTTTGAACACTAATGGCATTTGGGAACTGTAGGTGGGATTGGTAGGAGAGTTTACTTGCATGGATTTGGAAAGGAAGGTGGCGGTGGCGGTGGTGGAGGGGGAGTTGTTTGGGAATTCCTGTCTGTAGGTTGGTTGGTTGTTTTGAGCCATTCTGGGCCTTTCAGATTAGGCAGGCTTTACTCTATGCCATGTGTTAATCAATCACCAACCACACCCATACATGTCTAGAGTCCAACCTGAAGAAGAAGATAAAGTGAAATTACCCTATGAGCAGAACTGGATGAACTCAGAACCTGCTTTGTAATATGCAGGCAACTGTGCAGGCAGCTGTGCAGAAGTCATAAAGCTGTGTACACAGAAGGAGCACCGCACATATCTTATCTAAGCACAGCTAGAAGCACAGAGGTAATGTTGAACATTTGAATTTTCATTTTTCTGCAATAAGTAAATGAAGTGGGGGTTTTTTTTTTAATATTACTTTTTTAAAGGGGTAATTATAATGGGCTGATTTCTCTCTCTCTCTCTCTCTCTCTCTCTCTAGCTCTCTGTGAACAAAACTTCTCTTTTCCCCATCCTTAAAATGAAACTAGGTGCAAAATCTGAGCAATATTTTCAATTTTCTGAAGTTCTTTTCTCCAAAGATGCAGGACTAAAAAACCTAAATCTCCAGGAAATCCAAGAGTTGCGTTCCTTCCTCAATGCAAGTCAGATGTCTATATATCTAAAAATCTGGCCCTGAATCACCTGCGTTTTGGGTCATTAAGGTTCTTTTGACAAATGTACTGTGTGTACATCTTCTAGTTTCTATCATAGTTTCCCTGTTATGTTTTTAAAATGTGTGTGTTAAAAATCTTTTCATTCGTTCAGCATCACAAGCAGTTTTACTTAAAATCCCACTCAAATTTAGAACGTGTAACTGTTCACCTGCCTCATCATCAGCATTTGCTCTTGCTTTTGCTGCTTGGCCATGATCCCGGGCTTATGTGATGGTGCGCTTAGGATGCTTCTTCGTACCGTCTTGTAATCTCCCAAAGAACTATAGGTACTCTGACTTTCTTGCCTGCCATGTCTTGGATGTTATAATTATATGTTTTAATTTATGATGTCACTAGTCAGGCGGGTTATTATATATAGTTTATTTTTGTTTGTTTGTTTGTTTGTGCCTCTATTAGGGGTCCTGGTATTATAGGGGAATACCTCACTTGCCTTCTTGACTATCCACATGCACTCGCTGATATACACATATTCACAGTCTGATTCAGATTAACAGTTGTCTTTATTTTTATCTTTTATCACTCTATACATTCTTTCTTTACTTTTAGGCAGCAGGTCTCCACTTATATCCTTTTCCTTTTTTTTTTTTATTTAGCCTTATCAGTTATATCAATTTTGTAATTCTATCTAAATAATGTTCTTATGTAACTGAACACCTGACACCGAATCTGTTCAGCCTCAGCAAGCGGAGGCTGAGAGGGGATTTGGTGGCTGCCTACAAACTCATTAGGGGACATCAGTAGCAAATAGGAAGGGCCCTATTCCCCCCAGCAGCACCTGGGGTGATGAGGAACAATGGCCAGAAGCTGCTGGAGAATAGGTTCAGGTTAAAGATTAGGAGGCACTATTTCACTGTTAAGGTGGCTAGGATCTGGAACCAAATTCCTAGGTAAGTGGTCCTCACTCCTACCTTGGGTAAATTAAAAAAGAGGTTGGACAAACACCTGTCTGGGGTCATGTGACCACACAAAGCGGGTCCTCTACCTCCTGTGGGATACTCCATGCTCTCCAGCATCACAGCATTCATGAGCCATGCCTCATACCTTAAGGTATGTAGAAAAACATTTAAAGCTGTGTCTATGGCTGAATCGATGATCCTTCGAATCAGCATTGAATCTTCAGATTTGGATTTGGCTGAATTGAATCAGGGACAGTGATCCAAATAAACTAATTGAATCACTGTCCCCGATTCCAGACAAAACTGAATCCAAATTGAATATGGCCCGTTTCACACACCCCTACTGCTTACTGTGTTATTACCTGTTGTCATTTAAAGTGGTGGATCAGACTGAGATTGCAGGGGAGGAGGAGCCCTCATTGGGAAACACTACCATGTTGTGTAGAAGCCCCAGCACCGGTAAGGGCACCCCTTGACACGCACACAGAGATTCACACATGTCACAAGTTTTGCTTGTCAGCAGTTTGAGGTGCAGTTTCCCAGAAACCCCTGAACCTATCTCCTTGAAACCTGGAAGGCTTCATGGCTTCAGCATGGGCTACCCAGCCTGCAATTTTCTCCCTGATGTGCCTTAACATATACAGGTGACATGAGTTTTGCTTGTCAGCAGCTTGAGGTGCAGTTCCCCGGAAACTGCTGCACCTATCTCCTTGAAGCTTGAAAGGCTTCATGCCCTCAGAAGGGGCTGCCATCCCTGCTGTTTTCATCCTGATCTGACAAAAAATGACAAAGTTATAGGCAGATTCATGCTTCCCCATTATAACCTATGGGGAAAAAGTCGAAACAGCATCGAAACAGCAAAACAGTTTTGATGAAACAAAATGGAACAGTGCTTTCAAAACTAAATGAAACTCAAAATGAAACACTGTCCTGTCAAAACTGAAACAGAAGTCGAAATGAAAAGTTTCTCTTTTGCACAGCCCTACTGTACAGTAGCATTGCTTACTGCACATTCATTTAAAACTTGATTATACAACTACTAAATTAAGTGTGCAGTAACCACTGTGCACTAATGTATGTGTAGACATGCCCGGTTTTGATGATTTTCTTTTCTTGACTTTTACTATTTTACTACTACAGCTTCAATTAACTTTCTTTTCTTGAAAAAGACTGTAGGTTTGGTTGTGTTGGTAGTGTTGATGTAATGGACTTCCACCTTTCTAAGTTCATTGATCTTTGTAACACATGATACCTTGATTAAAAAACTAGAACAATAGAGAGCTGACCTGGCACCTCTTAAATGGATTAAACAGACAGAACTATAAATGGAACTTGAATCAGGAGTTAAGTATGGTGTCAGCATATTGTTAGTGAGGTGCCACAGGGATCAGTCCTTGGTCCTCTGCTAGTCAATGTTTTTGTTGATGACCTTCAAAAAAATTGAATATCACTGAATCTTCACTGGTAACACAAAGACTGAGGGTGCAAAATAGGAAGTAGAGGCTAAATCACTGCAATCGAGCCAGCTGATTTCTTTGTAAACTGCCCACAATCAACCATATGTATTTTATTCTGTTCCGGCACAAAATTATGCACCTAGGAACAAAAAAACTGCAGGCTGTGCTCACAGGAAGGGAGACTGTAGCTTGGAAGACAGCAACTCTGAAAAGGACACTGGAGATCAGTCAGGGCAATCAGCTGAACATGAGCTGTGAGTGGCATTCTGCAGCAGGCAGACAGTGACACCTATCATCAAGGTTGTCCAACACTTTTCTTTATAGGATCTTGTTTGTTGCCCTCTGCTTATAAACTTTGCCAACTTCAAACCATCCCAGCTGAAATTTACTCTGGTGAGTGTATTTCTCAAACCGCTCCTTTTATACATTTTTCAAAAAAAAAATCATTCAGCCTTTTCCAGAGAAGAGATTAATTAAAAACAAAACAACAAAAATCAAGTTCTGTCGACATTAAAAACATTCTTGCCCCTGTTTTGTTTGGAAACTCTAGGTGCTCTCTGCTTTTGAGCTGGGACTAAATTGTCATAGGGAGCGATGTGGGGGAAGTGCATGTGAGGATGTGCCCTTTGCTCTTCCCATAAGGAAAAGAAATACATACACGTTTGTCAGTAACAGGCAGTTTGCAAGAGCTTGGATTTCTCTCAGTCTTTCAGCTAAAGCACCTGCAGCTTCAACCTGCAGTGAGGATGCTTCTGCCTAGAGACAGGGGCACTGATCAGGGGTCTCCTTTTAATTGCTGATTTCAGTTAATTCATACCACTTTGGCAAGAGACACCACACGAAAGAGCACATCTCCCATGTTCTCAGCACTCTTTGCTGGTAACCAGGCAGCAGAGAGAAGGACATGGTCCAAGCCCATTACGAAGTGGGAGGACCTTGTCATATGGGACACATACCACGTGTTTTATGTGTAATTGTAGCAAGCATTGCTGTACTGCATTACATCTGGTTAGGGTCTGGGACTGGATCTGCCTCAGCTGGACCTAGCTTTATTATGATTTCCAGATTATGGTGAGTAAAGAAGTCACAGTGAAATCTGTAGGTAAACTCCCACTGATTTACATAGAGAAGCACAACACCTAAAATCAACACCACTTGGGATATATCCACCTGCCACATGGCAGGGAAGTATAGAGGGACCTGGGTTAACTCAGGTCCTGGAAGCAGGGTAACCACCTTAACTCCCCCTCAGACTAGTTACCTTTGCTGAGGAGACTCATTTTGAGTTAGCTAATGTAGCTCTATAAGGTGCAGCTTCCCACCATGGAGACATGCCCTTGAAGTCCCCCAGGCATATCAGCACCATCAAAAACATCATGCAGAAGAGTGAAACAGGCTTCTACATTTAACACGTATCAGTGTTTGGGCCTTCAGTGTTCGACCCACGTGTGTGATACTGGTGCGGTAGAGAATCCTACTCACATCTCCCAAGCAACAATCCAAGCTAACCCAGATGGAGAGATTCAAGGTCTGTAGTCAACAGAGTATTTGAATGTACTCCCTGGACGATAGCAGTTTAATACCGGTTGTTTCTGGCAGGTGACACAGAGGAAAATACTCGGACATCAAACCATGACTGGTTCAGGTGATAAGATTGAGATGCCGGCGCTGGGCCGCCCTTTCCAGTTGGGAATGTTGTATGACTGCCGCAAAGATGAACTTATCCCAGGTAATTCCTCAGCTGGGACTTGAGAATCAGGAGTGGAGGAAGGGAAGTTTCACGGTGTCACTCCAGGTCATGAGTAGCCAGGTCAAGAGTCATGTGGAGTGAGCAGAGTCCAGGGAAGAACTGTGTTTGGGAGCTGGGGGTCAGTCTGAGGGTAGGTTGAGTCTTTATGTTCTGTAAATGTAAGAGATTTTCTAACATGAAAGATATTTCCCCTCTCAAGCATTTATCATGGGTTTATCTGCTACATTCCAGGCATCACTCTGTGGGACCTGGAGAAACTCCAAAATGACGTGGATGTAAAACCGCAGTCCAAGACGGAATTTCAGATCATTGCATCAGACACCATTGATGCCAAGGCCTCTGCTCTCAAGGTCACAGCTTCACTGAAGGCCAGTCTCCTCTCAGGCCTGGTGGAAGTGAATGGTTCAGCACAATATTTAAATGATTCCAAGACATCCAGACATCAGGCCCGTGTCACTCTGCAGTACTCCACCACCACCCAGTTCAAGCAGCTGACGATGAGCCGTATTGGTCGCCAAAATGTCTCCTACCCTGATGTATTTGACCAAGGCACGGCCACCCACGTGGTCACTGCTGTGCTGTACGGGGCTCAGGCCTTCTTTGTGTTTGACCGGGAAGTGTCTGCATCTGAAAACATCCAAGATATACAGGGAAACCTGCAGGCTTTGATTAAAAAAATACCACAAGGTAACTTAGATGTGGACGGAGCTCTCAAAATGGATGCCCAAGAGAAAACCAAGTCTGAAAAATTCAGCTGTAGGTTTTATGGTGATTTTGCTCTTGAGACTCCAGTGACTTACCAGGATGCCATGAAAGTTTATGCTGCACTCCCCAAGATGCTGGGTGACAAAGGAGAAAAGGCCGTGCCCGTGAGAGTCTGGCTGTACCCGCTGACCAAGCTGGACTCCAAAGCCACTAAGCTGGTCTGTGAGATCAGCCTCATGCTGATCTTTGATGCCCAGGCTGTGCTGGAGCAGCTGGCAGAAGTAGACATGCGCTGCAATGACCTGATGAAGAACCGGATTGCCACGACCTTCCCTGAGATCAGGAGGAAACTGCAGCAATTCCAAGACCTGTGCAAGCAGCACAGACAGACTTTCCAGAAACAGCTGGCAGGACTCTTGCCCTCCATCCGTGGCAGGGGAGAAAAGGAACAGATCCTGGTGGATATTTTTACTTGCAACAACCAATCTCCATTCAATACAGAACGACTCCATGAATTCCTGGATAAAAAGGAACGAGAAATGAACTTTGTGACTTCCTACCTTTCTATCCTAAAGGATATGGAGGTTTTGTCTTCCCAGAATAAGCTGGATGAAATAGTACTTGACCACACATATGACTCTGTCATGTGCTTTACATTCACCTCATTGTCTGACAAGGAGCCCTATTTGTCAGATTTAAAGCTCTGGCTTCAGACCCAGTATATGAAGTACACATATGATCCAGCCCCAGCCAGTCATGTCATGGAGAAGCCACAGCCCCAAATGTGGTTTGAGGACAAAGAGAGAAACCAAAATGTGAGAAAATCTGCAAAATCCACATCAGATTTTTTCTGTATCAACAAATCAAATGCAAAGACCAAGTTTATTGTGGCCACGGTCTCAGACAAGGACAACCCAGGAGCTTCCATTTACCTGTATGAGGATGGGGATCTGATCAGCACCAACTTTGAGCCTCCAGCAAAACCTCTTCCTCCCTCGATTGATGGGATCAGCCATGACCAAATACAGCTGATGTTTACTCCAGCAGCCTTTGGAGAGGCTGTGATAACTGGCTATCGGGTGGAGTACAGAAGAGTGGGGCAGGAGGACTGGACAGCTGTGAATGTGGACACCAAGCAAGAGACATGGGCAGTAGCAGGGCTACGTGCAAACACCGAGTACCAGTTCCGATACGCCGCAGTGAGCAAACCAGGGCTCAGTGTGAGCAGTGATGCAAGCAGTGCGGTCAAGACACTCCCAACCAGCCCACCTGGGAAGCCTGTAGCATCTGCTGTGGAGTCATGTGCCATTGCCTTGACCTGGGAGGCACCAGCTGTCCTTGGAGAGGGAGTCAGTGTAAGAGAGTACAAGGTGGAGTATAGGGAGGAAGCTGGAGGCAGAAATCCTGAGGGAAACAACAAATGGATGGAGAAAAGAACAGAAGGGCGCATCGAGTTCTGCAGCGTCGATGGACTGAAGCCCCAGACGCTCTACAGGTTCCACGTGTTGGCCGTGTGTGCAGATGGGAGTCTGAGCGCCCCCAGCGAGGACTTTCCTGTGTCAACATTAAAGGTAGGAGCAAACATAAAGAAATCTGCCTAATCTGCACCTCTGCCTGCCTTCTTGTTAAAAGCCCACTGAGATTTCCCATGGACATAAGAGGGATCCATCTCAGTGGCTCTGATTCAGAGGGACACTGGGAAGGTGGAATCCACAGACAATCATTTATATAGTGCCCAGAGCAACTTGTCAAGGACTGCTCACCAACAACTTTCTGAAATATGCAGGTGCCTGTGTGCACAACATATGTATGATTTTGTATTCAGATTGGCCTTGATATTACAAAATATGCCAAGGTGAGGATCAGATGCTTGCAATGAATAAATGGATCAGGGCACGCATGGATGGGATGAAGGTTTCTATGCCTTTCCAACAGATTCTAGATGTGCCATCCTCATTAATCACATTAATGTCTCAAGTTCCGCTGCTTCTACAGAGCAGTACGTGCCTGAACATGTTCTGTGAATGGTGAACATGTACAACTGGGTAACGTGTGCTTGGCTGCATGCTGATATAAGGCACCTATAAGTTCTTCTGTCCTATTTGGTGAGTCCTGTCTAAGTAAGTACATTCATAGATTCATAGATGTTAGGGTCAGGAGGGACCTCAATAGCTCATCGAGTCCGACCCCCTGCATAGGCAGGAAAGAGTGCTGGGTCTAGATGACCCCAGCTAGATGCATGTCCAACCTCCTCTTGAAGACCCCCAGGGTAGGGGAGAGCACCACCTCCCTTGGGAGCCCGTTCCAGACCTTGGCCACTCGAACTGTGAAGAAGTTCTTCCCAATGTCCAGTCTAAGTCCATTCTTCTTATCCACCTTGGTGGATAAGAAGAATGCAATGGATATAATGTACTTGGGGTGGAGTCCTGTTTCCCTTTGTGTATCAAAGTGGCAGCTTTTTTGCCTTGTAAGAGGTGGATTTGGTACTTCTGAGCAGAGAGTGAGTCTGCTTCTCCTGCTGTGTGAATGCAGCTGGCAGCGCACGGTGCAGTAGGCTATGCGCTGTCCAGGAATGCATGCAGCTATTTTATGTGCATCCCTTCCTGTATCCAAGTCATGAATAGACATCCAGAATCCCATGAGTAGCAGGTGTGTTAGACTGAGCAGGAAAAGTAGAGTTATATGCTGGCCAAGTAGGTATATGGCAATGTGTTCATGAACCTGGAAAATTGATGGTAGCAGAAACAGATGATCCCTCACCTGTTTTAGCCTCAGCAGTCAGTTGTCTCAGGTACTTGGGAAGCCAGAGGCTGAGGTTATAGGCCTCCCCCCATGTTGTCCAGAGAACTTCTGAACACACGTTGTTCTGACTTCATAGCCCAGCACTAATCAGCAGACCACAGGTCAGGCATTACCGATAGTTTTCTTCAGCACTCCCTTTGAAGCTGGCCCTCTAGACAGCCTTGAGAGGGACATACCATCTTTTCTCATGTCCAACTTATGCCATTTCCCCAAAAAACAGAGCCCCAGATGTGAGTATTGTGTATTAAGTAGGGGCGCTGATTTTCTGATTAGGATAGAAGCACCCTACCTTGATTCTACTCCATCTGTGGCATTATTATTCAGGCAGCTGAGAGAGTCAATTGACTAATGGCCCATTTTTCTTCACCCCAGAGGTGTTAGTGGTTGTTTTACCTTTTTAGTGGTCTTGATGTATTACTAATCAGTTTAACATTTCTTAGGACAATTTTACCATCTGCTACCCACTTCTGGTCTCTTGCCTCTTATTTCATAGCCATGGAGACCTTGGAGACAAAATCATAGACCCACTCACTGAGACCTGTCTCCAGCAACAACTAAGATTTCAGCTTTAGTTAAACATCTATAACTCTGGAAAAAATAATTTGTCTTCCTTTTGTTTTAAAAAATAAGATATGTATTGTGTTCCAAGATGTATGGAAATATGGGATGCCAGGACAGGGAGAGGTGAATAAACCCAATGGTGCATGGTCCAGTGAAATGGCTGATGGCCTGGAACACAGCTGCTTCTGGGTTCTAGCCTGCATTATGCTGCCCATTATAGCAGAAATGGACCCCGAAAGCAGATCTCCACCCAATGAGCTTTCCTTTCTGGGAGTAATACTCAGGTTACTGTCCAGATGTGCCGCCAGCTGACAGCTCTGCTGAACACACTCAGTCTAAACAAGAAAGCTTACATGTCCAAAAGTACACTGGGGACATGAATGGCCAGGTAGATGGTTAGAGAACAGCCATTTAGATGCATAAAAGGAAGTACCATATTTTCTTGCATATTCCTGCCCCCAAATAAGATACGCACCTTGTTCTTAAGAGGAGGAGGAGGGAAGAAAATAAAAGATCTTTTCTTGTAGTAAATAATGAACAGCAGCAGGTGGGGAGCCGAGCCAGCTTGCTGTTCTGCTGTATGTGGATCACATGAAGGCTCTACTTTCCCTTTCTGTGGAAGGCAACATAAATAGCTCGTACCATATTTCTTTGCATACAACTCATTCTCCAAATTTCAACAGTTGTTTTTTTTATTCTTTTTGGCAAAAAAGGAGTGTCTTGCATGTAGGAAAAATACAGTAGAAATTTTTCCTTGGTGCATAACCCCCATGGAGAAATAAGTTTCTCAGTTATTCAGTATAGCTCCCAGGGGTGCTTCTGGGGGAGAGGCTAATTCCAGCTGGATCTACTGGAGGTAATTCAAGTCCATAAACAGGGGTTGCTGTAGTGTGATAATGCAGTCTAGAATCAGGGAAGACATTCCCAAGTTTTGGTTCAGGCCTCTGGAGAAATTAAAAGATAGATCACAGGTGCTACTCATCCCTGAAACAGAATAGGTGTCATTGGAGACTCCTTTGTATTTTGATGCTTTGCTTTTTTCAGCTGGTCCAAAACACCTTCACTCAGTCTCTTGCCATTTAGAAAACAACACCATCTTTGACTAACATTTTTGTCATCATTTCCATAGATCTCAGCAATAGCAGAGGGGCTCTCTCCTTTTTGTTGAGTGGAATATTGCTGGTCATAAGTGCTCTGGCCACGGAGGTAACTCAGCCTCCCATCACCTGTTGTGAAATGAGCATTTTTCAATGCAACTTGGAAAGTGTACATCAAATACAGTTTTGCAACCTAATCTGAATGCTGGATGCCAGTGAGATCAGCAGTTATAAGAACGTGTTTAGTGAGACCATCAGTGGCTGCACTGACTATGACTGGTTCCATTTAGGTCTGGACAAATCTTCCCATTTCAACTCTTGCGTGTGTGGAGAAAGCAGCCATTGAGATGCCGACTCTGGGTCGTGCTTTCCGACTTGGGATGCTGTACGACTGCCGCACCGACACGGCTTTGCAAGGTAAACCTCAACACTCGGATTCCATTTCTTTGTTCTGTTTTACGTCTGTGGGGAGAGAGAGGACCTTTCTGAGGGTTGAATGAAATGTCAGTTTAAATTCTAAGATTTCTAAAATGTGTCAGCTGAAAAACTCTTCCAAAAGAAGATGCATAGAAAGCCCAACTGCTAAATGGCTAATTTGCTCTGGTCTTCACACACACACAAAAAGCTGCAACAAGGTGGATAACTTAGAGACAAAGAAAGGGGAAACTGAGCATCATGATAACTAAAGAGAGCATCAGAGTGTTTTTGATTAATTTGAATGAATTCAAGCCAGAAGTTTAAGGTATTGAATGAAGGTAGAAGGGACCTTGAAGACCTTGGTAATAATATTTTTTTAAATTGCCAGATACTGCCAAGATTCCAGAGGCCTGGGAAAATGTCAAATTTTGCCCCTCTTTAAAAAAGGTAAAAAGGAGGACCCATGGATAGGGACTTATCTAAATCACAGAAGTTAGCTGCATTGCAGCACCTTTAATCTTGCTCTTTTCACCACATGCACCCTCCTCCTTCCCCTTCAACCAGTTAGTGGTTGATATGTGTGATGGGCTAGCTGGCAGTGACTTAGCCCAGTGGTTTTGAAAGGGCAAAAGATGATTGAAGGACTTGGGATTCCCTTTCCTTGCCAATCTGGTAATGATTTGGCTCAGAGGTTTTGAAGGGGTAAAAGATGATGGGAGGACTTGGGATTCCCTTTCCTCACCAATCAGGCCCCAGACACACACCCTCCATGTCCCGTAACTGGCTCCTTGGGTCACCTGGTGGGGGATAAAAGGGACAGTGCAGCTGACTCAGGAGAGACCAGAGAGGGACCACAAGGAAGGAGTTTCAAAGAGCTGGCAAGAGCTGGGCCAGCAGGGTGGGAGCAGTTGCCTCAGAAGAGCCTGAAGGAGTGGGACCTGCAGGCAGCACTGGGGTCCTCAGCAGCACGGCATGCAGCTGGCAGGTGAGGCTCTCCACTGGGCTCCAGGATCACCTATGAGAGGCTGTGGCCAGCAGGAGAGGCTCCCTAGCTCCAGCAAGGATCTGAGCAGGGACCTGAGAGGCTCCCAGCTCTGCTTCCAGCTCCTCCAATCAGAGGCCAGGCAGCTTGAAGTGAGGCTGGGGCTCCAGGAAGATCAAGATCCCTAGCAGATTGGAGCAGTACTAGCATTGGTGGCTGTGTGGCAGAGTTTCTGCCCACCATGTGGGAGATCCAAGTTCAAGTTGTGATTTGGGGTGACTCCTCTGCCCGAGTCCTGCCACTTGACTCACCAGCAGAGATCTCTGTTTAAAAATTGCAAATTCTCTAATAAGAACCCCAAATTCTCTCATTAAAATACCCCAAATCCATGTTCTTCTACTATTAAAATGAAATGCCATGCTATGTTCAGCTTATTGTCTACTGTCACCCCAGGTCCTGTTTTGCATAGCTACTGCCCAGCCAGTCAGCCCCAGCCTGCATCCGTGCATGGGATTTCTCCCTCCTAACTGCAGGACTTTGCACTTTTCCGTGTTGAATCTCATGAGATTTCTTTTGGACCAATCCTCCAATTTGTTGAGGTCACTCTAAATCCTAGCCCTACCCTCCAGTGTATCTACTACTCCCCACAGCTTGGTTGTCATCTGCAAACTTGCTGAGGGTGCACTCATCCCATCTTCCAGGTCACTGATAAAGACATTGAACAAAACTAGACCCAGGACCTACCCCTGGGGCACTCCACTTGATACCAGCTCTGAACTAGACATCCAGTCACTGATTACTGCTTTCTGATCCCAGTGCTCCAAACGGTTTTCCATTCACCTTACAATCCATTCATCCAGCCTGTATTTCCTTAGTTTGCCTGGGAGAAAGTTGTGGAAGACCATATCAAAAGCCTTGCTAAAATCAAAGTACAACACATCCACGAGTCTCCCCACATCCACAGAGTCAGTCATCTCATCACAGAAGGCAATCAGTTTAGTCAGGCATGACTTGCCCCTGGTGAATCCATGCTGACTGTTCCTGACCACCTTCTTCTCCTCCAAGTGCTTAGAAATGGATTCCTTGATTTTCCAGGGACTGAGGTGAGACTGACTGGTCTGTAGTTCCCTGGATCCTCCTTTCTCCCTTTCTTAAGTATTAGCACTATGTTTGCCCTTTTCCAGTCTTGGAGTATAATCTGCTATCTTGATAGTATGATCAGAACCATTTCTGAGTGTGAGCACACCTAAGGGAAGATGCTGAGGAGCTTTCCAGGGATGGTGATTCCAGGCACCTAAGGTATTTTGTAGTTTCTGGAGCAGGGTCAATCAGAATTGCTTTCCGTAACTTGGCACCTGGGGGAATGACATGGACCTGGCTATTAGTTTCCTTTTTAAAAATGGAATCTAAATATAAGCATAGAAAAATAAAGGGTAGCAGGGACCTCAAGGGTTCACCATGCACTTCTTAGGTAGGAACTTCCCGAATGCACAATTATCTAACGTTCCTTTAGTGCTCCAATGAACAGAGACCACAGTATCACTAGGGAGCCTCTTTCCTTGTTTCTGCACACTTAGAGCCGCTGAGAAACATGAAGCATAACTGAAAGAGAGCTGACCATCTGCCGAAAAATGAGGCAGCCCAATTCAAGCCCTGCACATGCTTAACCAGGGGAAATGCTTCTTATTCCCTTGATTAGGCACTAATACTTCAGGGGTTTGGATTTTGCAGATGTCACCTTATTGGACCCGGACGCCCTTCGGAAGGACGTAGATACAGAGGAGAAGCATGAGGTGGAATTTCAGGTCATGGCAGATGACACCATTGAAGACAAAGCCTCCATGCTCCGTATGGGCCCGGCATTGCAGACCAGCTTCCTGTGCGGTTTGGTTGAGGTGAAAGGATCTGCCGCATATCTAAATGACACCACGAGGTCCCCGCGCCAGGCCCGAGTCACTCTCCGACACCAAACAAGCACGAGGCTGGAGCGCCTGACTATGAGCCATTTAGGGCTCCAGCAGGTCCCTTACCCGGCTGTACTGGACCAAGGCAAAGCGACTCACGTGGTCGCTGCTGTGCTGTACGGGGCCCAGGCTTTCTATGTGTTTGATCAGGAAGTGGCTTCACGGGAGGTCGTACCAGAGACACAGGGCAACATGAAGCAGCTGATAGAAAAGCTCCCCCAGATTTCAGCAGCTTACCAAGATGCCACGAGAGTGTGTGCCACCCTCCCAAAGCTGGTGGGGGACGGTGGGGAGAAGGCCGTCCCGCTGAGCGTCTGGCTGTACCCGCTGAGCAGGGCCGATGCTCGAGGCGCTGCGGTGGTCCGTGAGATCAGTGCAAGGCTCACGGCTAAGGCCCAGGCTGTCCTGGAGCAGCTGAACGACTGCGACAGGCGGTGCAGGGACATGATGAGGGACAGCACGGCCCTGCGCTTCCCTGCAATCCAGGGGAAACTGCAGCAGTGCCAGGCGCTGTGCACTCGGTACAGACAGGCCTTCCACAAACAGCTGGCCGCAATCGTCCCTGCCATCCGTGCAGGAGGAGCAGAGGAAGGGTGTCTGGAGGAGGTTTTAATGAGCATTGAACAATCACCAGTCAGTCCTCAGCACCTCCGGGACTTTCTGGATCTAAGAATGGGAGAGATGAAACTTGTGAACATGTACCTCCCTTTGCTAGATGGGGTGGAGGTGATTTCTTCAGAGGAGGATCTAAGGGACATCGTATCAAACCCCATGATTAAGTATGTTGTCTCTTTTACATTTACTTCTTTGCATCGAGAGGAGCCATTTCTATCAGGTTTAGATGCCTGGCTTCACACCGCGGATGAGAAGAAAACCTGGGATCCAGCCTCAGCCTCTCCTGCCTGCAAGAAATCAAACTGCAGGCCGTGGTTTGAGCACGACATTGCAAAGCGCAGAGCGCGGGACTCTGCACGTTTCTTCTCAGACTTCATACGTGTTAATAAATGTAGCGGGAAGACTCGGTTCCTTGTGACCTCAGTCTAAGGTGAGGACAACCCAGGAGCTTCCATCTACCTGTATGAGGATGGGGAGCTTGTGAGCACCAACTTTGAGCCTCCAGCAAAGCCTCTTCCTCCCCTGATTGCTGGAATCAGCCATGACCGTGTGCAGCTCACATTGGAGCCAGCTCCCTTTGGAGAGGCTGCGATCACCGGCTATCGGGTGGAGTACAGAAGAGTGGGGAAGGAGGACTGGACAGCTGTGAGTGTGGATAACAAGCAAGAAACGTTCCCAGTCACAGGGCTATGTGCAAACACCGAGTACCAGTTCCGATATGCTGCAGCGAGCAAACCAGGGCTCAGCGCGAGCAGTGATGGGAGTGATGCAGTCAAGACACTCCCAACCAGCCCCCCTGGGAAACCTGCAGCAACTACTGTTGAATCAACTGCCTTCGCCCTGAGCTGGGAGGCACCCACTCTCATTGGAGACAGAGCCACTATCAAGGAGTACAGGGTGCAATATAGGGAGGAAGTTGGTGGTGAAAACCCTATGGAGAAAGACAAATGGTTTGAGCAGAGAACAGGAAAGAAAGTCGAGTTCTGTAAGACCCATGGGCTGAAGCCACAGATGTGCTACAGGGTCCGAGTCTCAGCCGTGTGGATGGATGAAGCTCTGAGTGCCTCCAGTGAGGACTTTTCCATTTCAACATTACCGGTAAGGGAGAATGGAGAGAAATCTGCATAATCTCCCCCTCCACTTTCCTTCCTCATAGCATGTGACAGCTTTGGTGTGTCGTCTCCACTGGACATGATAGGGGGAAATTCATCTGAATGGGTCTAACTTCTTAGACACCTTTCTGGGTCCCAGTCTAAGTAGATGCCCTGCGGGGCACCTCAAGGCTTATGAGCTAAATACATGACTCCAAAACCACCCCTTTACCATGCCCCATGCTTTGCAGATGGTATATCAATGTTGTCCCTGTAATGAGGTCTTGGCTTAATTTGGCCTTCAGTTATTACTGGGCTCCTGGCCACTTTCGCTGTGGCCCCCTGCCTCTGGGCTCTCGGCAGCCCTGGCACTGCAGCCCCTGGTGTTGGGGCTCTATGTAGTAGTGTGTCCCAGTGAGGCCTCCTCCACCCCAATAGCCTCATTGCAGTCCACCGGATTAAACAACAACATAAATATGAGCCCCTGGGCTACAACCTGACAACAATGGCACTGGAAGTCACACTCTGCACCTTTAAGAGGCCCAGTTTCTCCCTCAGCAATGTGTGCCTCCTATCCCCAGGTACTTTAGGAGCTCCAAGAACCCATTAGTCTAACTGGCAGCAGAACAGGCACCCAAGCACCTCCGCAGACCTTTTCTGCATGAACTCCTTCTTCCCTGGCTGCTGCCAGAGCACTAACTGCCTCCAGTCCCAGTCCTGCAGCTTATGTGTGCCCAGAGCCCTGTGTTCTTCTGGTCAGCTGACTGGGTGAAGGTGCTAGCTAATTCCCTCATTAGCCTGCTGCCACGGCAACCTGCACCTGTGGAGGTTCTGCCTGGTTCCTAGGGCCCCTCTCCAGGCAGTTTGTGCCCTTAAAGGAGCAGGCACACCTTAGTGCCCTGCAGCAGTATTCAATCTGCTCTCCACTTGAGGCAAAAAGGAAAGCCAGCCAGGAAGGCTGGTCAAGCCATCCCAACCATGCCATTTACCATGTCAGGAAGTGCTTCATTTTTTAAACACTTTTAAATTTTTTTTCCAAACCATTTGCACTCGGCGGTGTTTCCAGTGTGACATCTGACTACACCCCTGGGAACAATACTGTCCCTGGCTAAGTATTTTTATCAGCAGTTACAGATCTCAGCAGTAATGGAGTGTGTCTCATTTTTTTTTTTTGTTGAGTGAAATCTAGTTGTTCAGAAGTGCACTAAGCATGCCTGTACCTCTGCCTTCCAGTTGTTATGCCCATTTACGTCAATTTGGGCCTTGTACCAAATATTAATTCTAATACTAGGACACTGTTACTCCTTAACCAATAACACATTTATTCAGCCTCTAACAGTTACACATGTATTGCTTTAGTTGGTCAAAGGCAATGCAACATGCTCACACTCCAAAAGTACAATGAACTCAATGACAGGGCGATCTGTCCATGAAGTCTCATCTGGGAGCTACCGGTTCCTACGTCTGGCTTTTGTACAGTGTAGATTCTTCTTGGATCACTGTTAGGGTCTCTTTGGGAGGGGCTCCGAAGTGTGAGCATTTGTTTCCTACTTGTATATCACATTTCTTATCATATAATTAGCTTAAGCCATTCCCTACAATGCATATTCATAGGCCTATTTCCACTTGCCATGTATGATTGATCTTAACTAGAATTTTCCAGCTGTAGGTACTTATCTCATTCTTAGGCGGGGGTCAGTTTTGCTGCTGATTGTTTCTCTTTTCCCAAGCCAAATTTCCTTATTTAGACACTTCTTGATTTCTTCACCAAGAATGGATTATGGTGAAAATGACCCTCATGACGGATCTCATTGCTGAGTCTCAGCTTTGCAGCTGGTTGAAGTTAAGGTGATATCTGCAGCTGCTCATGGTCATGCTAAGTGCCAGATTTAAAAACCCAGGCCCAAAGGCATCTGAAACCCAACACATTCGCTTCTGCAAACGTAGATTTTTTTTCAATATAGTTTGAAAAGCCTGAATGAACTAGAGTTTGCAAATATAATTTGAATCGAGCACTGGTGATTTTTGTTAGACTCCATGCAGTGCCCAATGACTAGGGAGACGACAATCCAATCGCTCATGGATCCTGGTACTCATTAACCAGAGCAAGCAGGGAGCAAACACCAGCCCACATTGCTTGCAATAGCTTTATTCAGAATGGAGAGAGCTTCAGACTAGCTCCCAAAAACCAACAAACTGGGGAGCCTCAGTGAACAATCGTTTTTTTTCCCCACACTTATACACTTTGGTTTATACTCATTAACATTCACTCCACCTTCATCCCTCCTTCTGTTCCACCCATTTCTCCTCCCATCTCAAGCTCCACTTCTGTGTACTGTTTGCTTCATTAACATGGAAGTACCTATGCATTTCATTTATTTACATAACTTTTTGCTATGCACACATGTCTAAGACCTTGACTCCTGCTCTTCTGTCAATGGGTGGACTTTAACTAAAACCTGGAAGCTTCTGGAGGCTTCTTCACCAATCATGTCTCATTAAATTTCATTACACAGCTACTCAGGGCAAGGATTGAGTTGCTGTATCTCTCCTGAAGTGGAATACAATGAAAAGTGACTGATTTGCATCTTGCCAGCCTGCAGGGTGGTTTTGGTTCAATTCCACATTGAGAAATGATACAATCCCAGACCCAGGCAGTCAGCAGCAAAGCTTTCCTCTCTCAGAATCGCTCCATTACTGTCACTGTTGTTTGGCTCAAAACTACTGGGCACTTACCTCACCTGGATCATAGCACAAGCTTTGTTAATTTGACAGAGATGGGCAGCAGTTCGTGAGATCTGGTAAGTGCATGGCTCAGGAAAAGGTCTTGTTCTCTACTATAATCATTACAGTACTCACCAAGCAGTGTGAATGCATTCAAGAGGTACCTGATGGCAGTGGATGCACCTTACTTCCCTGTGGTCTTTCTGTAACTCAATACGTGCATTTTTATCAAAATTACAATATTATTTTTTGTGTCATTAATGCATTTTATTTACTATTACAAATATTTCAGCCACGTTTGGATCCAGGAAAAGATGTGCCAGCTCTTGCAGGTAAGAAAGCAACACTTGAGCCCGTGGTCTATGGGAAACGGCAGAAAAAGACTTCCAGGAAACATGACTCCCCCACTCATCTCCCAGCTCTGCTCTCCCACTGGCCTTTCCTGAGCTCAGCAAAAGAGGAAGGTGACAACAAAGCATACCTAGCTTTCCTGTAGTGGCCACAGGAAATCTCTGCTCACTCCCAGCCTTTGAATGACATGGCTGCCCCATAATCTTTAAGCACCAGGGGGAAATTCTTGGTTTCTAAGGGGTGGGATCAATTCTTAGTGCTCCTTGATACAAATTCACTGACTAGGATCTGGGTTTGTGCTGGCCCCATGATGCTAAGCACCACCCTCCATAAGCAGATGGACAAGGCTAGGTTCCCCAGAAGATACAATGATCTGAAACCTTGACCTTGTCTTGACTTCATAAAGTTCTGCTTAGAGTGATTGGTGTTTGGCTGCTTTTTAAATTGTATATGCCACTTTGTGGATAGATGTCAGAATAAATGTTGTGTTGCATAGACATGCATCTAACCCAAAACACATAGTGTAGGATCTGTGCCAGACTTCAGGGACCCTTTGGTTCCAAGGGTGGAAATGTTCATGAATGAGAGCTCCCATCCCTAGCTGTTGTCTGGAAGGAAACTCACACCTTGTGTTCAGATCTAGAAGGGGTTAAACAATTGGACTGGGAGGCAGGTGGCCTTTGTTCCCTGAGGGCAAGCAGGGAACATCTACTGTGTAACCTGCCCTGGCCCAGAGAATGAGGAAGGGGGATTTTCTTTTCTTTGGGCTGTTTCAGAATTCCCCTGGTAAGAACTGCTGCTATTTAAGGACCAGCAGAGTCCTGGTCCTGGTCCTGGTCCTGGCTGGGGACCTGGAGTGTGTTTGCAATCCTTCCCAGTTTTATCATCTGCGCACTGTATCAAGATCTCTCTCCTGTGCAGGATCCAAATCATTAATAAGCATATTAGATACCACAAGTCCCAGGACAGTCCCTGGTGGAGACTTGCTCACAACCTCTTGCCATTGCGACATGGATCCATTTATAATCACCCTTTGCTTATAGTCATGGATCCCTTTGTCTTTCTATCTCGTTTGTTTCCAGACCATTTTTCTTCAGTTTACTTGTGAGAATGTCACATGGGCCGTCACTGTCCCCAAGTCGACTATGCCCACTGCATTTCATTCATCCTCTCACCCTGCCCTGCTCCAGTCCAGCTGCCCCAGCTGCATGTGGGTGAGCTCTCAGCGGGGAGCCAAGGCCTCTGGCTGCCAGTGCTCACCACACCCAGTGCTGCTCACCCCCACAAAGCCCAGTGTCTGCAGGCCAGTGAACTGAGTCCTTGCATATCTCGGGATATGGAAACAAGACCTCATGAGCAGCCTCTGTTACTTCACTGCCTTTCCAGTGACTCTGTGACCCTTTCTCTCCACAGGCTCAGGCCCAGACAGCCACTGCCCTGGGACATCTGAGCTGAGAATTGTTCTCGTTGGGAAAACTGGACGTGGGAAAAGTGCAACAGGAAACAGCATCTTGGGGGGGGATTTTTTCTCATCTGGCACCTCAGCCCAGTCCGTATCAAAACAATGTGCAAAGAAGCAGAGAGACTGGAACAGTCGGAGCCTCGTGGTAGTTGATACTCCTGGTTTGTTAGACACAAAAAATCCTTTACTGGAACCCATGCAGGAGATCGGGCGCTGTGTGGTTCTCTCCTCCCCAGGTCCCCACGCCATCCTTCTGGTCATGCAGCTGGGACGTTTCACTGCAGAAGAGAAGAAGGCAGTTGCTCAAATACAAAATGGTTTTGGGGAGGAGGCTATTAAGTACACTATCCTTTTGTTCACCAGAAAGGAGGATTTAGAGGATGAGACTTTAGAGGGGTATTTAAAAAAAATAGAAGACAAAGACCTTAAGGAACTGGTGGCCAAGTGTGGAAACCGATATTGTGCTTTCAATAACAAGGCAACAGGACAGGAGCAGAAGGACCAGGTCTCAGAGCTGGTGGGAATCATTGATCGGATGGGCCAGCAGAACAGAGGCTCACATTACACGAATGAGATGTACAAATATGCTGAGAGGAAACTTGAAGAAAAAATGGAGGAGCTCACGAGAGCCCGTGCTGAAAAGGTGAAAAGAGAAAAACAAGAAAAAAGATCTCAGTATGACCAGGAACATAAAACCGTGGAAACTGAAGAAACAGAAGAAGTCAAGAAGGGCCACCAGGAATCTCTGCGTAACCTCAGGGAAGAAGCTGAGAAGGATGTTTCTCTAATACAACTGATTTTAAAACGATTTGCAAACATATTTTCAAAAATCAAAAGCTGGTTTAGGTGATGTTGGGTAAGTAACTGTAATTTCTCCTTGCCTTATTGCTGTGCCTCCTCTTCAATTGAATGGGTTTCATTTCCCTGTAAACCTTTTAGTTTCTTTAGGTTTTCCACACAGTAGGTTATATTTCATCACCATTTCAGTCATCCTCCCACTCCCATCTGGAGTGGCAGGAAAATTAGGCTAATGCTTTGGATTAATTTTGATAATTACTGGTTGTAAACACCAATCTTTCTCAAGAGCCGTTTACAGAAACTAGGATCTATTCCCAAAAACATTTTTCATTCTCAAGGATTTGAACAGTTTAGGTAAACTGAGGCTCCCCAGCTGCGTACAGGCTTTGCATCTGACTACTCTCTTCTTTATTTGTTATGTGATTGGCCACCCACCCTGGTCTGGGCCAAAACTGTTGTTTCTGCTTCTGCAAAAAATTCTACAAAACAGAAAATAATGGAAGATTCACTACATGGACTTTCAGGCCACTTATTATTCATCTGAAAATTCATGAGGACTTCAGGATTTGCATACTGTGGCACTTCCATTCACTTAAGTATTTTTAACAAAATGCTTTAAAATATTCAACCATTTTGGACTGTTGTAGTCACAAACCTACCACACTTACTTGTTAATAGAGTCTACCCATACTTGTCATGCAGTTTTACTATCATTGTCTGTTTGGCTTCTCATTATGTCTGTCATGTCATGACACTTTCCCTGAATTCTGACTGATATTAGCTTCCAGAGGGGCTCAGATCTTCATCATGTCAGAACCCGTTAATTAGATGCCTATAGCACAGAGGAGAATTGGTATAGCCTAGAGGAGAATTGGTATAGCCTAGAGGAGAAATGACATAGCACAGAGGAAAATTCCATGGGTTCAATACATATGGCGTAGTTTTGCTGTCAATCATTCTGGTGGCAGTAACTAGGTCATGGAGGAAAATTCCACTATGCCTGAACCCAGTAACCAAATGCTACAGTAGTGGAAAATTACAGTTTAGAAAAAAGTTCCCCACCTTGTGGAGAGCTCTGAGTACACTGTGGAGCCTAGCAAACTCCACGCGTGTTTCAGAGCGAACTTAGCGGCCTGATCAACCACTAAGGACTCCCCGTCACCGACCCGAGGGGGCCTAGCACACCCCAACCCGAGACGTAAGACGACTGCCGGCTCGAACACCCCGAACACTTCTGCAGACCGACCAAACGAACTTTGTAATTTCTGCCCAACCCAAGTTTTGTTTACGACCGTAATCGAAGCAAGCTTCTGGCCTGCACTGTACGAGCAGTGTAAGTAAACAACCTTTTTTGTTCAATCAAAACGCTTGAGTACCTGATTCCACTCCAAGCGTCACAAGTACCCGCCTGCCGACCAGGGCTCCTAAGGCCCCGAACCCCGCGCCGCGGCTCTCGGCGGTGACACATCACTGTAGTCAGGATTATGGTGAACTTCACAAAGTAAACTCAGGTGTCATTGATTGCAAAACAGTTCTTGACTCATTTCAAATTGTTCTTTACTTTCATTTATAAGCCAGGGGATGGATCCTGGCTCTTACCACAGTCATGGGCACTGCTAAAGAAGAGCACACAGTGTTGAGAAAGTGCTCTTGGGGTTGTGAATGGAGAGTTGTCCTGGCATAGACAACGCACGTGACATTCACACCCACAAGCTGAGAATGAGGGGCAGCAGCAGGACTAGTCGAGGGTGGTGGAGGTGCAAGGCTGTGGCTTAGGAGTGAGAGGCTGGCACACAGACACAAAGATATACACACACACACACACACACACACACACACACACACAGATGTGTCAGGTCATGGGATGTGCCACAGAGCTGCAAGGAGCTTGTCCAGAGGCATGTGGTGGGGCAGGGGGATCCCTACTGCTGCATGCACCTGTGGGGGATGTCCAGGGGGCATGTGGTCCCTGGATTTGTGCACAGAGCAGAGACAGGCTGCCAATTGTGGGCTGAGGCTCTGTGCCCTGCTGCCTTTGCCCTGAGAGCAGTGCACTGGCCTTTGTAACCCTTGGGTAGGTAGGGGACGTGCGGTACTGCCAGCACGTGACAGCAGGTTGCAGAGCCTCATCTCACAGCAGGCAGCCTACCTCCATCCTATGCACAAATTGAGGGGGCACATGCCCCCATGCCTTCCCCAGTGGTGCCCCTTCCTCCCATGTGCCTCTGGATGAGCCACCCATAGCTCTGTCTCAATCCACCTCAACCCTAGAGCCCCATTCCCCCCACCATGCCTGACCCTACCCAACGTCCTCCCTTGCTGTGGGGACCTCGTGCTGCCTCAGTCTACCTCCTTTTCTTTCCCTGCCCCTTCCCCTCCACAGACTTACCAGCTTGGCGCTCACTACACACGCCAGAAGAAAAAGTGAGGGTTCTATCATGAGATCATGGCTCAGTGTGAACTTTACTTAGAAATCACAAGTCTGGCAATTTTTTCACAAGAGTTGGTATTACTGCTGTCCCTATGCCTGAAGAAGGGTGTTTGTGCCTGGAAGCACAAATATAAGGGCTTTAAAAATAGTGTCAGTTAGGTGTAATTCTCACAGGCAAAATCCACCTGCCCAATTGGGTTAGCTTCTAATGAACTCTCTAGTGTTGCAGCAAAACCCCCAGTTTTTCTTTTTTAATACACACACACACACACACACACACACACACACACATATATATATATGAACGATAGATATGCATTCCCTTCCCTTCCCCAATTATTTCTGGCTTCTCTTTCTCTCCCTCTTTATTCTCTATAGACAACACACACACACACACACACATACACACACACACACACACACACACACACATATATATATATATATATGAATGATAGATATGCATTCCCTTCCCTTCCCCAATTATTTCTGGCTTCTCTTTCTCTCCCTCTTTATTCTCTATAGACAAGCATAAGCCAGCTCAGACTTAGGATTAGCTTTAACATTTTTATTTAGGTAGCAAGTTTTTGGTTTCGGTTATCCACTGTTTTATATTGGATAATTATTAGGTTTGTATTGATTCTTACTGTTGTATATTGTATTATTATCATTTTCATATTGATTTTTATTGTTTCATATGGATATCATATGGTTTAGGCCTGTGTTTGTAAGTGAACCAAAGTAATGTCAAGTTTCCATTTTGTATGTCAAGTCTCCATCTTGTGTCCTCTGCCTGGGCATCCCCTGTGTTGCAACTG